GGGCATGGTCCTGCAATAGGAGGAGCCCAGAGCCCACTGAACCAGCATAAAGTCTGACATTGGCTCTGAGGATTTCATCCCGGTAGGTAACAGCAGTCAGGGTACCGGTGGCTAGCACATGGAGGTCTGTGCGACCCTCAAAGGATAGGCCTCCCCAGACCATCACTGACTCACCGCTAAACCTGTGATGCTGGATGATATTGCAGGCAGCATAACGTTACCACAGCATCTTCAGATTTTTTCTCGTCCATCATAGTGTGAACCTGCTCTCATCTGTGAAGAGAACGGGGCTCCAGTGGTGAACCTGCCAATTCTGGTGTCCTTCTGCGAATGCCAATTGAGCTACATTGTGTTGGGCTGTGAGCACAAATCCCACTAGAGGATTTTGGGCCCTCATGCCACACTCATGGAGTCTGTTACTGGCAGTTTGTTCAGAAACATGCACACCAGTTGTCATAGTGTGAGAATTTTGGGACTCAAAGGCAGACTCGGTACAGCTCAAAGGGGTAAGATTTTATTGAGATGTGCTTCAGAAGGCTGGGTGATATGTTTCAGCAAATCAGAGTGGTGAGCACGGAGGGAGGGGAGGGGGGGGCAGAGCGTGGCATCCAGCAGAGTCTCCGGAGAAAAAGTAATACTGAACACAGAGAAACACAGAGTTAATCCAGGGAGCACACAGAAAGCACAAATCTTACTTGAGTCGAGAGTAGGCCTTGACGCATGTACCATGTGTGGTTAACTGACAATCTGGTGAAGAATGGTGAGGAGGACTGGGGTTGCTATACTGCAGGAGCTTGATTAGTGGGATGAGGATCAGGTGTGTAGCTGGAGCTTGGCAGCAGGAGCCAGAGAGTGTAGCCACACCCAGACAAACATAGACAACACAGAGACAGACAGAGAGAATAGACAGAAAACACAGGGAAGGGGGGAACAAAAGAACATAAGGTAGTGGGGAGATACTGCAATACCACAACACCAGTAGCCCACTGGAGGTTATTTTGAAGGGCTCTGGCAGTGCTCCTCCTGTTCCTCATCGAACAAAGGAGCAGATTCTGGTCCTGCTGCTGGGTTGATGCCCTTCTACGGCCCTGTCCAGCTCTCCTTGTGTAACGGCCCGTCTCCTTGCATCTCCTCCATGCTCTTGAGACTGTGCTAGGAGGCACAACAAACCTTGCGAGACACTTATGGATGTGCCATCCAGGAGGACCGACTACCTGGGCAAACTTAATGGGCTGCAGGTACCGCCTCATGCGACCAGTAATGATAAGGACACTAGCAAAATGCAAAACTAGAAAACAATTGGTCTGGAAGGATAAGGAGAAATTGTCTGCGGCCACCACTTGCAAAACCATTCCTTTTTGGGGGATTGTCTTGCTGCAGGCCTCTCCAGTGCACCTGTTGTCACTTTCATTTGCACCAAAACAGGTGACATTGATTCACTATTGCTTATGCTTCCTAACTGGACAGATTGATATCCCTGAAGTGTAATTGACATGATGTTATACTGTGATGATTAAGTGTTAACTTATTTTTTCAGCAGTAGTATTACCTAATATCGTAACATGTTTGCAACCAGTGTTTGCTCATTTGATACTCTGAGTGAAATTAAGGTGGAGGAACGGCTGTTAAATTGAAAATTCTCCTTTTGAGTTATGATCATTACATTAATGGCCACATGGCTCTTTCAAATGGAAGTATAAATGGCACCAAACATTTTGGAAAATTGATTGTGAATTGAGGCTCCACACATGCGTGAAAGCCCCCACTTTAACTTTGTTTTTCCTCTTTCATAATTATTACCAAGAGTTGCAGATTGTTACAGTTTTCCAGTTTGATGCAGATGTTAGGTGCTTTTCATCCGCAATAGAAATGACTTTTAAGGAAAGGCAATAACTAAAATTACCTTGAATGTGCACTTCTTTGATTGCTAAAACAATGACCCATGCAATTTGAAGTTTGACTCCCTATGTGAGATAATAACACAAATGTACTGTATTTTACTAGATGACAGTTATTGCTCATAAGTGATACTCACTGATATGACATGCAAATTGCTTTATATGGTATAATTGGGACTGAGTGCTTCCAGAAACTGACAGCACATACTCTGCAGCTGTTATTTACACAGTTCTTTGGGCTTACAAACAAGCTTCTTTAAGTGTGGAACCCAGACAACTGTTTTCTATTTTTTGGTTTGATTATGACAGAAATTGTTGGCTTTGTCATACCAGAAAGATATCTTAATTTTGCTGCAACATAACACACCTTGATGATCCTAAGTTCAAGATCCCGCAAACAAGTTGAGCTTTGTGATCACTTTTATTTTGGGAATGAGAGTGTGTGTGTAATGATTAAATCATGTTTATTTTTTAGCTCATTTTTTTAATCAAATCCACCTTTAAAAAGACTTTGTTGCAATCAAACTAGTAATAGAAAAGAGGATGTCAAAAAAGCATGGCTGTCAGTGCACAACTGGTAATAAAAACACACGCCTCCAGAGTTAAATCACTTTAGCAGCTAACACACTACATGAAAATAACACTACAAAATCCTACTGTAACAACAATGAATATGAATTCTTTTTGTTTTGTTTATAGGTAGAACACATAAGGTGATGTTAGGATTTCAGGAGGTGTTTAGGAAGTACAAAGATATTCTCTTTTTGTTGTTTTCTTGATTTCCTGCCATGTTTGGAGAACAGAGACGAGACATTTGTTTGTTTAACATGTCATTCTGCAGGTTCCTGACATGGAGATTATTAATACATTATTTCTGAGTTTGGTACAAACTTAAGTGTACCAGCATGATTTTTATTTCTGAAACTATATTGAAATCCCTTCCTCCAAATGAACAGAGTATGACACTTAATACAGGAGAACGGCAACTGGATGAAATAAATGTTAAAGGGATAGTACCTGACAGTGAAGCTTAAGAGTTTTTTGGTTTAGTTCAACTTGGGTCTTATTTTGGAGATAATCTTCATTACATTTAGCTTTTATCCCAAATGACTTACAATTGTATTATATTGAAATTATTCTTAAAATTATACCTCCCATAGGCTATTTCTGTCCACTGTCAATCACTTGCCAATTCTTACTAGTAGCCATGAAATGATTGCTATTCAGGGTCTTTTAATCTTAACGCAACCTGGGGGGGGGGTGATTTCCATTGAGTTTGCTCTGGATATTCATGGTCCTCAGTATAAGAAGTTGTTTGTGGTCTCTCTACCACCACCAACAGGCCAGACATTTATCGGCCCAGTACTGGTAAGGCTTTAAAGGGCCAGTCTTGTTCACACAGGTTAATCTACAAGGAGCTTATTATGGAATGAAGAAACATATGATATGATGTAAAGATATGTTGTGGAGACTTCGATATTCACTTGTCCTCTCTTTCTTAAATAAATTTAAACTAGGAAAGTTTATATAGACTACCAAGAATGATTCCCTGAGAATGCACCCCCAGCACCCTGACCACACCACACACACCGAACACGCGCTCCTCTGCTTCCCACAAAACCAAAGTCCACATTAACATTGTAATAGGAAAGAGTGTTAACGCACAGCTTTAGCTGCCTGACAAGAGCGAATTGGATGTCAGAAGGATTCCTGCTCAGTTTAATTGAATCTGCCCAGCACTAAAAAAGAAAATCTAAAGTCAAAATAACCTATTAGATCTATCAGGTAATGTTTTGTTGAGTTTGACAGGTAGCCCGGACCCCTTCTCCCTATTTTATTCCTGCAGGTTGGTAATGCAGGAGTGTACGGGTGGGTGGTAGCTGATGTTATCCATGATCTCTGTTTCTGTTATTCGTTAATAAATTGTGACCTGCTCTTTCTGTTTCCTGGAGCTCATTCAGCAAATCCCTTGAGTATAGATCTAGGCTGGAGAAGCGTGAGGAGGGGTTGTAGTGAGTTACTACAGCTAATGGATGGCGGGGGCTGCTACACTTGAACTGGCTGTTTGTTCAGTGTTCTGACTTCACTTTTTCTGACTTTCCTTATTTTCTGTAAAATAAATCTCTTAAAAAAGACAATAGCTTGGAAGTGAAGGTTACGTGTATGGAGTAATGGTATCTTAATAAGCTAAAAGCACAAGAATGCATTACTAATGTATACATTATATTGCAAAATTCATTTCAGGTCAGTCTCATTTAGCCACATGACTCATCTTCTCTCCACCACGTCCAGCCTTCTCACGCACTTTCCTATAGAATATAATAAGTATTGATAAGGTATTGATGAAAACACATGCTCCTACTTTGTGTCAGTCACATTTACAAACTTTAGGTTGTCATGGATCCTGATCAATAGCTCTCCCTGTACAAGGTACTGTGTCTTGTACTTCATCTGCTTTTTCACCATAAACATTGCCTCCTAATGTATTAATAGTTAAATATATGCTGAAGATTATAATATAATTTTATGAGTAACATTTAGTGTAACCGTAACTTTTCAGGAGGACTTGGCAAGAGTAATATTTTGTAATTAAGATCACTACATTATCATTTCTTTTCTGAGCTCAGTCACCTCATTGAATTCCCACCTCTGAACTTGTGAGCTCTCCTTTGCGCGCTGAGTGCATCTGGAGTTTCAGTCCAGGAGCTGACTGAATTATGAGCTGCTCTGAATACACACATATTGCAGCTGCAAAGTCACTGAAAACCAGAGCGCACATTTGCGCAACGCCATCTTAGTAAATCTGGCCCTGAGTGATTTCTCTCAGTCCAGCAGGAATATGATAATTCTTTTCCTGCTCAGTTTAATCAATTCCTGATTGCTATCTAAACTGTTATTGTTGTGTCAATTTTGCAGAGGGGTTATTAAAATGCCAACTAGATAAAAAGAAACCAAACTGGTCCCAGGAGAACTACAGTCACAAAAACTTCTTGTTACCTCTTGTTAGTTGGAAACAAACAAGAGCAAAAAAACATATTGTGAAGTATAAAACCTGAGAACTGTTATCTATCCACACTAAGTTTGTTTTTCCTTTGTTTTCAGACTCACGAGCTGGAGAAGGAGCACCCAGAACGGTGGACCACGCAGTGATTGGAGGAGTCGTGGCCGTGGTCGTCTTTGCCATGCTCTGTCTACTCATCGTCTTGGGGCGCTACTTTGCAAGACACAAAGGTAGTGGACTTGGAAAATGCAACTTTCTAAAGCATAAGTTCATTTATAAAGCTGCATTGGGAAAGATTGTTAAATACAGTATGCATAAAGAGAAGCCATCGAATTGAGACCAATTCTCAGAACACTGGGTTGCAACAGAAAAGTGCATAAAATAGCCACTCAGATGCTGCAGAGTTGATGCAAGTATGGACAGTAACTGAAAATACTCACCATCCACTGGAAGTAAAACAGCAACCAACATTTACTGACATCAGTAATCTGGTGCAAAATGGGGAAGCAAACTTAGATAGCTTTATCATAAGATAATCGTATTTTTAACTTTGCAGCTGTTGTCTTATGGTTTGGATACTTTTAGTTCACCAGTCACCAAAAACATCACGTTAAATGAATGCTGAATAATGACACATTATGAGATGGTGTGTTCCTCACTTTGTTGAATGAAACTGCATGGCTTAGTAAATGTCATTTGAATCAGTTGTGGTGAAGGATGGATAGATGGAAAACATGCAGTACAGGGGGTTTGTGGTCGAATAGAGGTTTGGAAAACACAATTCTAGGTTAGTCCGCTGTTGTGGGGCGAGGTGGCAAATAAGTTATTGGACAAATAACAGAGGGAATGTGGTAGTAAAAAAAGGTATAACTGTCTAAACTGTCCAATATCATTAATGGTAAACTCATAAAAAGTAAACAATAAACTGTAGGTTGCATTTGATAAAGGTGGGTAAACTGCATTTATGTGCGTTTACCCTACATCTCAAATAATAAAATCAGTCAGGCTAATGAAAAATATTAATAGTTTAAAAGTTTTATAGCTTGGCTGAAGTCAGTGGGCCAAGCAGGTTCATTCAGCATATACAACCCTATATTTTCCTGTGTTCTCTTTTCAATCTATGGTTGCAGAAAGGCTAGATACCATGTTTCTCACCTTTGTAAACAGTCAGGCAGTAACAAACGATCAGCAGTGGGTTCCACTGAACTAACTCAGAGGGTGGTACAAAAATTGTTTTTGTCAATTTCTGAAAATAGTAAATCGATCATTGATATAGGCTGCTTAATTTATAATCATGTATGATAATAATTTTATTTTTCAAAAAACAAAAAGTGGCTGGCAAAACCTAACTTTTCTCCCCCTAATTGAGTAATGGAGATGCATCCACTTGCGCTATTTCTCAGGTGCCTACTGCCACAAATTACCACCATGCGACTGTAGCTGTGGAAAACCTGAGGTGGGTGTGTTATGAAGATACCATTGGCACTGTTCAAGTTTGACCACAGCCACATGGCAAATAAATCTCTTCCCTTTAATATGGAGAACATAAGGATATGCATCTTAAATTAAATCACTTTCTGAGATTATGTATAAGTATTATATAGTATTTAGAGATATCTTGAAGTTGAAAAAAGTTTAAGTAATTCAAACTATGCCATAACATAAACCCATAATATCAGTAAATCATCTGGGAGACTGTGTATCTGTGTTGAGGCATATTGAGGTTATCAGTTGTCCTCTCTTTCTTAAATAAAGTTAAAGAAACACCAGTGGTTACTCCTGCTTTGCAATTCGATAGACACTGACCATATTGTGGATAATTGTCTTTGGCTTCAGCACACAGAGTAAACCAAAAAACAATACAATTTATTGAGGGCTAATGTCAAGAATATCAACAAACAACATGACTTAAAATGTATATAGATATATAGTAGGTGTAAAAAAACATTTTATTACATCAATTACAGACAGGGCCATGTGCAAAACTCAGTGCACGCTTAGTGAAACAGACGTCTTACAGAAAACATACTTTAGCCAGACTACAATAAACATAATAGATAGAAAACATTTTTTAGCATTTATGTTTTTTATGCAGTACTTGATATCATTTCTCTGCAGTATATACTGCTTGTCCCTTTAACACAAACTGGTCCAGCAGGCTATACAGTTTATCAGGTGTAGCCTAGTAGTCTTTTTACATCCTTTCCAAATAATGGAAAGATTGCTATTAAGACTAAGGCTGGGTTACTGTGGTGAATAAAATTAAATTTTTCATGCAGTGCTACTGAAAAACATAATGCATCTTGTCTGCTGCCCACAGACATAATCATAATAAACATATTTCTCACATTGTTATTTCTTATGCAGAAGGAAATGGAAATATATCCATTAACCACTTTAGTGTAAATTCGGCAACTTAAAGGAGTTGAAGAGATATTTTGTTATTTTGTGGTGATACTGAACTTAGTGTTTCCCCTCAGACTTCCATTCAGAAGCTATATGTTCAGGTGAAAATATTTTCTGTTGGCTCTTGGTGGTGAACTGAAACATTTGAAAAAACACTGCATTAAACTATAATAAGGGTCCAGTAGTTTATATGACTGGTACACAGTCAAACCACACAGTTCATTATTTGTGATTAACCTCACCTTCTCAGTCGGTTGACACTGGTTCAGCTTGTATCCGCTGCTTTTGTCAACAGCTGCTTCGATCTGCCAATAAAGTTTAGCTCTACTGCCATCAAACTAATGGCCTAGATCTTTTGTCTCTGTTTTAACTTTTGCAACTTAACCTACAAGGCTAGTAAACGAACCCATCCTGTCTCCAGGTGACTGATATTATTGCATCAAACACACTGTTAATTGCCAAAAACACAGCTTTTATTTATTTATTTTTTTTCACAAACACACTTTGTCCACTTTTTGGTACACCTATCCAATTTAATGCAATCAAGTATTACAGATTTGCCACTCTTTCAGCTGGTGCTCCCAATATAGTGCAAAAAGACTAAAGTGCTTTGCTCTCACCATTACATTTAAAACACATTGGTTCTCATACAGCTACAATCAAATTTTAGTACAAAAAAATCCATGCATGTTGAGTAGTTATGGTTCGAGTCTTTGCACAAACAATCTAGGTTTTAGCCTCCTAAGCCTGCCGCTAGCGCCACCTAATACCACATTGCAATAATTTTTGTAGCTATCATTTTTATCAGTACTAATAACACTGTACAGTAAACAAGACCGTCCTCTCCAGTGCAAGCAGCTTAGTACGACCCATACGTTTTTTTGAGTAATTATGACAGGAGCAAGTGGGAAGCTATGAATCTGAAAAGTAAAGGCAATGCAGAAGTGCCTTAAATCTGCATTCTTTCCAATGGCCAGCAGGGTGGCGACTCACTGCTTGTAAAAAGAAGTCCGATTGTATAGAAGCCTATAAGAAAATAACCGTAATACCCACTTGATTTATTACCTCAGTAAACATTTTCCTAATCAGTTTCTGGTATCAATCGCTAGTTTCAAGTCTTCTCCAATAGAACATGATGTTCATTTTGTAAATTACGGTCGCATTTGTCATTGCACTATTGTCTAAATCTGTCTATATTGTTTTTGTTTATAGTGTGTATATGTGTTCTCTATACTGTACTCTGTGTGTGATTTTATTATTGTATTATTTTATTGTAAGTAAGCACATCCTGAATCAAATTCCTCGTATGTGTACATACACCTGGCAAATAAAGCTGATTCTGATTTAAAGTAAAATAGACGATAAAGTAGGGTATGCTTTAGGGTGTGGCTACCTTGTGACAAGTTGCTACCACGCCCCTCTCGTCAAAATATGGTCACTTAAAAAAACAAGTTGGCAACGACCAAAATGCTAAACTTGAGGCTTCAAAATGCCAGTCCACAAACCAACGGGTGACTTCACGGCCAGGAGGCCAGGGTGGATAGATGGGTCAAATACGGGACTTTTGCACAGGAAACTACTCTTTGTGTCCCATGTAAAACCAAGAGTCAATGTTAACTTATATCACAAGACTTACTAACGGAACTAAAGTACTTATTTTAACCCAAACATGGTCCGCCTGGTACACTCCAATGGTTATATATGCTGTTTTGGGAGTCACTGGCCAACAACCTATTCTGTCGTTTAGGTATGAGGGCAAGAAACATAAGCAGTCAAAAGGTTAGCCATAAGTTATTTAGAAGAGAAAATAAAGGTAACATTTTTACACAGACTGTCCATTCTAAGCATCCAAAACAATTTACAGATCACTGTTCTGGTTCCAACTTGACCTACCATGCTTACTGTAGTTTTGCACAGTTTTCCTGTGCAGTTACATTACCCTCACCTCCAAATAAAGTTGTTCAGATAATCTGACTAAGCTGTTCGCTTGTTTACAACCTGTCTGATCGCCTGACTGCTCATGTTTCTTGCCCCATCTGACTTTGTTGTATCAAGGTTGTTATGTTCCCAGATCTCAGCAATTACTTTGGTGAGTACAATGGTATCATCACTGATAGAAATGATGACCAAAACTACAAAAATAAGACACAAGCTGTACTTAACTGGAATTATCCTTTTAATGCTCATTTCTGATTCATTGTCACGATGCTATTTTTTTCTGTTGGGCTGTTCACTATGAATAGCAATGAGATGCAAATAAACAGATCAAATGGAGGCCACTTTTACTAATGGCATTGTGCATGATGTGAGTTGTATGCTGCTTAAAGTGCAGTGGATGCCAGATATGAATATTCATGAAAGAACAATAATGACAGCAAAGAGATGAGATATATATATTTTCTGCTTTCCTTTGGTGACTACTCCTATGCAAAGAAATTTTCAGATGTGAGACTAAAGTGACTGGAGGTCACTCAGAAAAATAATTCATCTAGAATTTCATGATGTTGAGGGCAACTTTTAACTACCTCTGTCAGAAACTTTCCATAATAATTACTCAGAAAAAATACTTACCTGAAACACCCCTATAACCCTGAGAACGAATACAGGAGTAGGGTTGTATTAACTGGCAACGGGGGCGGATTACAGCATAATTCTGATACGACTGTTCAAATTGAGGTTGCATTGCCAAAAGTCATATAAATTAAGTATCAGATATAGGATGATGGCTTGTCAGAATCATTTTTTTTTTCTTCAGACTGACTTCAAGGATTTGGATTTTTTTCTCGCATGCAATCTGAACATAATCCTATGCCACTATCCTCATGGTACAGCTCCACTGAACACCTTGTTTCTGTTCAAGCTGCATTTGTGCATTTATTTTTTCCCCATTCAAAAGTGCCCTTTCTCATTTGATCTGGAATATTGCCTTCGTTATCAACCTCTACTATGAGACGATGAGAATAAATCTCGTAAATTAAGTTTGAAGTGTTTTTTTATTTCCTTTTTTTCCCCGCTGAACTTGACGAGGTTAATTTGAAGGTGTGAGTCATGCTCTTCCCCGCACTTGAGATCATTTCAGAGCCCTGATTTACATGTGCCAATCTTAAATGAAAAAGAGGGGAAATTATATATAATCTGAATATTATATATATGGTGTTAGGTTTGTGTAAATGTCCACATGCAGAAGGATTTGCATAATTAGGTGCTGTGGGATGTAGAGGCACATGTTAATCTTTTGTATCATCTAAGCAGCAGGCTATTATCCAGTCCATGACACTGTCCTTCATCCTCTCCTCCTCAGGTACCTACTTTACACACGAAGCCAAAGGAGCAGACGATGCAGCAGACGCAGATACAGCCATCATCAACGCAGAGGGTGGCCACACCAACTCAGATGAAAAGAAAGAGTACTACATCTAATCAAAACAGGACCCCTCACTCTAGTGTCCTCTTTGGGACACAGAGCTGTTTTTGGGCCCAGGGGCACAGGGAGAGGGGGGTTTGATGGAAGGATTTTAGTTGGTTCAGGATCACTTGTAGTGAGAGTAGAGGGGTCGAGGAGGAGAAGAGAGATGGGATTTTAAAGACAGGCCTGGTTTTAAGCCGTTGTTTAGTCTAGTCTGCAGATGTAGATGGAATGTTTTGTGTGTAAAAAAATAAAAAAATCAAAAAAGGACAAAAAATGGGAGGGTTCAGGTTTTGGTAAACTGAGAAGGGGATGGGGGTGGGAAGGTGCGCCAGACGTTGCCAGAAATCACTGTAGAGAGCTTCACCATTCAACACCTCCCTAACTGCTGGTACGAATTTTATTTAGTTCAACCATTTGCAGAAAATTCTGTGCCTTGTTCTATCCATACTTTGGATTTGTGTTGATCCTCATTTGCATAACCTTGTTGCTCCCCTTTTCCTGTTTCATCTTTTCCACTCATAATTATCAATGTGCTGTTGGCTTTTGTATGAGGGTAAAATTACACAGCCACTTTATTCATTTCCCTAAATGTGTCTGCGCACACCTATCCTCTCCTGCATAACAAAAACTCTTTCCAGTATACTGTGATTTGTCTCAAGCCATTACTTCCCTCTCTTCTTTCCCTGAAGTTTTGACAGCTCCAAAAATGCATGGAATGCTTTCCATATCATTGTACAAAAGACATAAATGAGAAAAAGGTTTGATGTACTGTATATGCCCTCCCTGCCCCCTCCAGAACACAACCACATTCAAAACATAATCAAGAAGAAGGCAGCAAAGGATAATATTAAATTATTCTATTGGGCAAATTCAGTTAATTAATGTTTTGCAAACTTAGTTTGTTAATCAGAGCAGATAAACTACTTCCTCTCAAACAGTTACCTTTCTTAGTATAGGGAAGTAGTACATTATTTTTCTTCACAGTGCTGCTATTTCATTATTTTGCTTTCTTCCTCTGTTCAGTACTATTTTTCTTCTCTTTGACTGAATGGAAGCCCTGTTTTCCCACCAGCATTTATTGAGTTGTAATTATAAGATTCAATTGATTTCCATCTGTTCTCACTCTACTATGTTTTTTCTTACAAATGGGAAAGTAAGAAAATACAAATTGTTTAAAAATGTTTTTTGGCAGACTCTCAGTCAAGATGCCTCCAGTAATAAAAGGCTGTTAAATAAACATTTGGGATTAATACTGGCCAACCAGCAGTCAAAAGATGCTAGTGTACTGTACATAAACTTACCGAAAAGAGAAGCAGCCTTAACCAAACTCCAAACTAAAACACATTAAAATGTATTTTAGAAATATGTAAGCTGAACAAAACATTTTAAAAAAGGGTCTTGGCAGTCCAGGTCCTCCCATCTTATCTCATATATACACAATCCAATGTAAATCAAGCCAATGGAATCACAGCTGTATTGTACACTAATCCTTACTAAGAAATATTTTTTACAACTTACTAGAATTACAATGGAGTACCTTTGTGGATTTTATTGTATCAGATTCATTGTGAGTTTTGTCAAAATGTAAAACAAGTAAATGTTGGGGAAAGTAAATGTCTTGTGAGAGACAGGCCAGCCTTTCCACTTCATTCGCACCTTCTAAATATATATTTTGCTTTGATGCAGCAGCTGAGTGCTTAAACATTGGAACATTTTTTGCATGTATGTACCTGCTAAAACCCATTCTTTTTGCTTCTGTCTTGCTTTATGTATCACCTGCCAACACTGAATGGAGTTCTGTTTTGCTGTACCAGCTAGGGAGCACTGAGGAATGCCAAAAGTAATTAATTGTTTGTAACTGAACGTAATACACATGTTGTGCTCCGTGGTGTTAATCCCATGGGACGCATTAATTCCCTGGCTTCTTAACATGGCAATGAGGGTCTATTCACGGCAATGTTTGTCATTATTATGTGTTCACACAGCAAGCAGTTCATCTAATGAGGCCATACTCTATGTAACAGCTGTGGGTGGATGAAGGTGGAGGTGCAGTGTACACCGTCAAAGTTTTGAACATGCAAAGCATTGTTATTTCATGGATTTGTGTGTTGTGAAATCACATCATTTCGAACATTTTATCAACACAAATGATAGACTTATCAACTCCCAACAGGCTGGCTGCAACCACTAATCAAGTTTTTTTTTTTTGAGGCCCTTATTCCTGTGGGGTTTTTTTTTTATTAAATTGAAAAGCTAGAATCAATTAGACAAAAATACACCAGGTTAAATCAGTAGAGAGATTAAAATTTAGAAAATGTATTTCACATTAATAACAGTGATTTTTATAAATATGAAACATTCCATATCAAAAGTAGATAGGTGTCATATAGCGTATTGACACTGTTTGCATTACATATTATTGAGTAAATAGGCATAAGTAGCATGTTTTAGCTAAGTCAGAAGAATGATGAGTCACTGTGAGTGTCCAAACCTGTAGTTTTAAGTTCTACAGGTAGAACTACTTTCAAAAAATTTGCTGTTTTCATGGTGACGTACCATGAAGTTCTGTCTTACTTAAAAAAACAAACAAATGTAGAATGTGCCAATTTCACATCGTAAAGACCTGTGCATGGCATAAAGAAGTGCGCTGTAACTACAGAAAGCACACGCAAACACTAAAACAGACACTGAAAACTTGTTGTTTTACAATGTTTATTTTAGTTTCAACATTCTGAATATGTGTGGCCAATAGTATTGGATATATTGTTATACACTCATTAGTGTAAGCCCACTAATTATGATTTCAGACATCCCGCAGAAATGTCTATTGTGAATTTCTGTATTTTATTGTGTTTTCTGTGTTACCAGCATGTGCCTTTATGCCTTGTAAGTGTTGTCATGTTGGTGAATGTGCTTTTTAATTTGCTTGCATTTTAGTTGTTGGATGTGCATTTCCTCTAAATGCAACATGTGAGTTGTCAGAGCGGTAAAGATATTTTCTTCATTTGCCTGTGTTTTCTTAAGTTGCACTGTATTGAGCACTGTACTTCACAGTAACCAGAGTCCTTTGGTTTTCCATGATGCTTATATCTGGAATTAAAGGATATATTTCAGCATCAATCATATCCAATGATAAAACTCTTTTACGAAAATGTCACCAGATCAGGACACTCTGGGATAATAATGGGTTCTTTGGGACTTAATGGCATTGCTTGCTGTGTGGACTCGCATATCCAAGATTCAATACTTTTTTTGTCATGTTAACCCATTTGATTGGAATTGTCAATGTGCAGCTCATATTGCAACACATTAACAATGTGATAGCTTTAATATATCATAGTCATGCATGAAGACAGCATTCAGTCTTTCTATATTGAGATTTGGGTTTGGTGGTCGTCCAATGGCAGTTGAGAAGGTTCTTGTGAAGTGCATTACGCAAATTTCACCTTCCTGAGCATAACGCATCTGTGCATTTTTAAAGTCGTTAAATATTTTTTGTGCAGTTTTAGAAGACAGCAGGTGGCCTGTGTGGGAGCACTGGACATGTTTTTAGCTGTTCCATTGTATGCGGCAGTTGTAGATGGGGGCTGCAGGAGTGATATTGCAGACAAAGATCAAAGATGCTGTGTCCAACTCTCGCCAACTGTTTATTCTTCTGTGAAAACTTGATTTAATTTAAAAGTTCTGTACTCACAAAGGAATTTCCACTAAGTTAACACTGTATGCTGATGACACTGTTTTGTGTTTGTTACATGGGTGGGCGGGGGTGGGGAAGGGTTCTGATTAGTTTAGATGTTTTACGGTCTGGTGTCTGATAAAACTATTAACTGACTTGTTATCGTTGCTTTATGAATCACAGAGCAGATGTCACTTCGTCTGTAAGACTGAGATTGTGTGATTTGTATTTTACAGTGAGCACTATTTCGCTTCAGTGACATGTGGCAGCTTCCATTAAAATCAGACTTCAAAATATGTACTTGTCAATAAAGGAATAGAACTGAATATTGTCTTCTCCCTTAAGGCTGATGCATTAATATTTTATTTGTGAATGTTGAACCTTTTATGGGTTGGAACGGCAGGAGTGTTTCTCCAATGTTGTACTTACAAAAGAGTTTTCACTCTCCCAAAGTTTCAATATAAGGAGAAACATCAACAAACAACATAAAATATCAGTTGACTAGGTTTAAATATTTTGAAATGGTAAAGATTCAATTTGAAGTAAATAGCAGGATGATATTTTAGGTTATTGTGTGTATGATTATATTTTGTGTTAAATGCCCAGTTAAGTAAAACATAGACTTTGGTCTTACAGTGTAACTGATCTAGGTTTCTCCACATTAAATTATTTTGATAATGTCCTGTCTGGTTCATGCGTTGCTGACCGATGTGACTGCATCTCAGGTAGAATGCAAAGTTTAGGCCCCACCTATCAATGACATAAAAGCAAGTACAATACATCCTCATCGAATCAAGTGCAACACATTATTTTAGATCCAAGAGGCAAAATTGATGATATTTTGCATATATGTTGTACATGTTTCCTGTATTTTTCTTAATATTTGGTGCACTGTAAAAGATGTGTTAAGTATTGCTTTGTGTTGACATAGGTCATAAAGAGTACACTGTTTATTGGAATGAAGCAGGATCAAAAACCTGTTGTGGCTGTACTACTGTCACTTTCAACGCACCACCGCCTTTGGAAGCTTGTTTGATTCTCGAAAAGTTTTGATTGTTTCACCAGTCATTGTTTTTAGATTGATTCTTTTTGTCTCTCTGCTGTTCTTGGGAAATGTTAATGTGTATTAATGGAGAAAAGGAGTTCCACATTCCCATACACATTTTGTATTGGTTCATAAATAGACATTTTTACAAAACAATGAAGAGTTCTTGTCTTAATAAAAAAGAAAAGATATTAATGTCCAAAATAATCAGTGTCGGTATTATTTTTTACTCTAAATGGCAAGATAAGGTGATGCACCACAGGTAAATAGAGTATGTGAACTATTATGAACACACAGCAACACATAATGTATAATTAATTTTTCATCTTCAGTAACCATTTGCAAATGATTAAGCCTGATTGCATTAACCTGTTTCATTCTGATAGCCTAAACAGATGGTTCACCTAACTCTTCCCCTAACCCTTGAACTCGCGGCAGGTGGGGAGCCAGACAAAGGGACAGAGTGCATTGCAGAGGGCCGGGGATGAAACAGAGTGGTTGAAGAGAAGGTGTGAGGAGTAAACTTTGACATACTGTGCGTTATTTTTAAAAAACTCGCACTGCTTCCTGCTTTGACACAAAATGTAGATGATGGTTATTTTAAGCTATTTTAAGATACACAATTTTCAGAACAGGATAGCCTCTGGAGAACGCCCCCCAGTACCATGAACCTTTTTACTATAATGGAGTGTAGTGTAAGAGATACAAATTTCTCTGAGGCTTTAAAGTTTTACTTGGTGATACTTTAAATACTATTTGTGATTGTTTTAATTAGGGCTTCTGAGCTTGTAATAATAACTACTTAAATACTGTAGCTTCAGTCAGCCAGCTCTCATAATGGATTATTATGTCAATATGTACAGGGATGACATTTGGCGTTTGGGCTCTGACTTCTTCACTTCTCACAATGAGATCCCTGCACAGCAGGGATTGGAGAGTGACGATAATAACTTCCCCTCCTTTGGGGATATAGACTCAGGTTGTGCTTATGAAATGCCTTATGGGCAGCAGCTGCAAGTGATTGCACCCGTTGCAGGGCGGTAATGGAGCAGTGGATAAGACACATGCCTTTGGTGTGTTCGAATCCACTGTGTCCCTGACACTTAGTTGCAGCAGAGGTGTGCAACCTCTGACATATATAGCAATTGTAAGTCGCTTTGGATAAAAGCATCATCTAAATGAATAATGTAAATGTAATGTAAATTGTGGTGAGCAGGGCAACAAAAGAGCAAATCACTGACAGCTTAAGTACACGACCATAATATAAAGAGGGCATTTGATATACTGTTGGTTGCAGTGAGAAGGAAATAAATCGTCATTTTGTTGTATAATGAATATTCCCTTGTAGTAGTAGAGGGACTTTTCCTTTAGTTTTGTTTGACAAATGCTTCACAAATACACCATCGTTTACACGGGTTCAGCTTTGCATTGCTGAATATAATGAGTGTCTTTAGCTTGAGACAAGGAGAAAAAGGAATGTCAGCAGAGAAACTGGATGGGTGTATATATATATATCTATTTGCACTTATTGTCTGGTGTTGCTGAAAGTTCTTTGCAGCCTGAAGTGAATCTTGGCAGGCACAGATGTCATGAAATCTTTATCACATGCATAAACCAGTGTTAACATGCAATATATAACAAGCTCCTAATTAACACAAATATAGGGTAATACCTTGAGGAGCACCGTGAAAGCTTGAATAAATTTGACAAGACTTATACTCTGAAAATCAATCTCTGCCGCCCTGCATGATGAGTGCAGTGAACCTTTTTAACTAACATCTTAAATAAATGGAGACGGTATTATTGATTCCAACATAGTTGGTGGAATTGACGTGAGGCAAGCAGTAAGTCATAGAATAAACATAAAATGTATTTCTCCATTCATATTTAATGTTCAGGAGTCAGGCTTTACTTTAGACATTAGCACACCTATAATATTCCATATTCAGTAAATTACTTGAGCGGAGAAAGATATTATCTTTTTAATTACATTTTCACCTCAGGCTCTCATTATACTTCAAGTGCTGTACATAATGAGCCAACATCTTAAATAAGTAAAGGTGATACTGCTATTGATTAGAACGCGAATACCAGAGGCAAGCTATCAGTCATAGAATATGTACTTCTGAGTTCACGTTTAATGTGTGTGCCAATTGGTCTAGACTCATTGCTCAATATCCTCGAATAACTTAAATAGGAAGGAATCCTATTCATTACACTTTAACTGACTCTGTAACAGCAAATGGCTGCACTTAACAAAGCCAGAGTATAATCATTTTGCTGTATCTGTCCTTGGTGATGGTGTTTTGTCTATAGTAATTTAAAAGGTCATTGATGGAGTCTTGTCTTTATGTGTTAACCTTGCAAACTCAAAAGGTTAAAGCTACAATATCCTAACATGAATAATATATTATTTATCCATTACATGTGCAAAGCAACCACATTATTATTTGACTCCGTGGTCAACCAGTCTCTTGATCCTGATCTAATGAACTCTGTTTAAAAGTGTCCTTGTAACCACTCACATATTATTCAGGATTTGGCTATTTAGAGACCATTAAGATTAGGAGGCCATGAAGAGGCTCTGCAGAGCAAACCTTTACAGCCTGATGTCAGCAGTTGAACCAGAAGTTATAATGAATGATTTATTGAATGTGAGATTGTAAGGGACCCATAAACTCTCATGATAATGGCAACCCTTAAGGGCACTCAGGAAATCAGGGCACCTGTAACGGCTCGCAACAATTAAACTACTTGTCCTTGTTCTGCAATCAGACCAGGTCGCAATTATTCAGAGAATAATACTCTATGTATACATTCATACAATCAAATTCAAATTAGCTTTATTGGCATGAATGTGTAATAACAATATACATACAATATACATACAACATAAGAACAATCAGCCGCAGACATTTTATTAAACAAGTAATTAAAGCGTAAAGTAGTCAAAGCGTATGTGTGTTTGTGTTTAAAAATAAAAATAAAAAATATTAAACATTCAAATTAAATAAATAAATAAAACAGTAAGCGTGTGTGTGTGTGTGTTAAAAAAAATAAAACTATATTAAAAATAAAATAAATAAAACAGTAAGCGTGTGTGTTCAATCATTAAATACAAACTAACTAATTAGGATTTACATGTATCTGCATTCTACCCTGTCTCCTAGAAATCACATTCATACACTGCTTTTATGTTTTGCCAGTTATATTTTGTTAGGAATTGTAATTTGGCAGCACTTTGATCCTGAGTCCAGCACGTTGGTTAAGGATACGAAAAGATCATGGTTTTGGTTAAATGTTAACAAAGTAAACATATCCATCCTCTTTGATGTGTACAGACAGGAATGTGTTGTCGATCCTCTGCTCTAACTTGCTGCAATAAAAGTGAATCAGCATATTTCTTAAAAATGTTGAACTATTCCTTTAAGAAAAAAATTACCGGTATATTAAACATTTGCGGAATGTCACAAATCTGCAATCATGTAAATGAAACAGTAACTACTTTCCTAAAACATGATTCTGACCTGGTTCTTGTTTTTTTTTTTTATCTTAAATCCATTGTCCTGAAGATTTTGCACTTTTGCCACCATTACTGAAAAAAACCCCATCACTTTTGATATCAGACAGTGTTTTAATGCAATACCTTTCTGTCACAAAGGTGCTTGTTTTTTGTTAAAACATAGATTCCATTCATCCACAACTCCCTCCTCGTTGAGTTGTTGTCATTGTTATTTGTGAAATCATAGCCACTTACCGGTTAAAACAGCACTTGGACATTTGTTTGTTTGACTCCAGCAGAAAATTGCTATGTGCCATTCAGCATTTGTTATGATTGTTTTATTTTCAACTGCAATTTGTGCTCAGTGGGTCATTTTGACGTTTTCATTTTTTTTAATATGATTATACTTTGCAACAAAAGCTCTGAGTGGGGGCTGAGGTTAACACTGGTTTTCTTAGCATTTTGTTTGTTTGTCATTCTCATTATGAAAGAAAGGAAGTTGTGTTTGTCCCTTCACTTATCATATTGGATGTACCTATACTCACCTAGTTTATTGATAGTAGTATTAGTCAATTCATGGTTTGGTTTTATTCTTGTCGTGAACAAACCTATATGTTACACTTTTCAAAACATGCACAAAACATAAAAGAGGAAAACAAAAACACAGACAAGGATTCAATTTAACACGGGACCTGTACTATTATGCAGTATTTGACGTTAGCAGCCCACAGACTGTACTTACTGTACTTACTACTTTTATGCATGCTATGGATGCTGCA